CTGCTTCCTCGCAGATTTTGGTAAATCCTTCCAGCCACAGCACATATCCCACAGTCTCTAGCGGCTCCCCATTCCTTCACAGTTGACAGAAAGCCCAGTTTTCTCCCCAGAAGGAGAGAAGTCCCAGGTTGGTGCCAGACAGCCTCTATGAAATGTTTATCTTCTTGGAAAAGCAGGGAGAACAGTGTCAGATGTGTTGGAAATGATGTTTTAGGGCTCTGGAGAAGATCTGTGCCCTCAAGGGTCTTGCTAACTTACCTCAGAAATACATGTGAGTCAATGAGATGGGGAGACAAACTACCCAACCCCCCCAATTCTCCCCACCCAAATCTCTTCAGATCACGAGAAATGGTCAGGGACAGGGATGGGAGCATCTGGAAATAACAGCATTCCTAAGGGAAAGTATTCCTTTTTAATTAATTGTATCCCTTTTATCCATGACAGTGTAATTGCATTTTGCTTAACTAAATCTTTTTAATTGGTGCTGGGAGTGAATGATAAGCAAAGCTGTACAATTCCTTATTAACTATTATTGATAGCTATTTTAGGGCAGTGTAGAACGGTTAGCTGGGAGACTTAAAAGCTGGGGCCAAATAGCACCGAGCTGGATATTTGGGGAGAAAGGTGGTGTGGGCGTGCATGCCAGCCTCTACATCTCAGGGCTACCCATTTTTGCAGATGCAAGAGGCCTTTTCGTTGCTCACTGACTATCTCGTGGTGACTTGTGGCACTCTTCCTGCCCCAATGGACCTTCCCTTGGACCGGAGAAGTGGGCGCGTGGGGCACCAGTGCCCTCCAAACCTGCTGCCCGGGGGTCCCGGTGCTGGCTTTCAGGCTCCAAGTGCCACTGCTGTGACTCGTGTTCTGCCCTCGCAGCAGCGAGGCTGGGAGTGAGCTGTGCAGCTGTCCCTCCTCTGCCCCTCCGAGGGGACACCTCTGACATGCTGGCGAAATCTGGGGTTTTGCCTTAAAAATAGTGCTTCTAGCTATTAAGAGCGGAGAGAAAAACCTGTAAAACTGTCCTGACTGCTTGGCAGCCTCTTGCAAACCATCAGGCACAAGACACTGAATCACAATGGTATTTTCCACTATTATTTTTCAGAATCCCTTTCTGGGAGGACTGGTTGAGCACGGCTGGAGTTACCAAAGACTGGGAAGCTGCCACAACCT